TTATTCCCAAGTCATTATCTAGTAAATTTTTTTTTTCGAAAATTTTTTCCCAGTTTTAGTGAGTGTAGCTCAGCATCCGCTGGACCAATCAAAAAGTGCGCCATACATTTTTTGTTCGAGACTCCCGGGTTAAGACTTTGGCGGTATTCCCGATCAATTATCTCGCAAATTAAATTTTCGAAATTTTTAAAAAAATTTATCTGAGTGTAGCTCAGCATCCGCTGGACCAATCAAAAAGTGCGCCATACATTTTTTGTTCAGAACTTTCTTCTAATCACTATGGCGGTATTCCCGAACAATTATTTAGCGAATTTAATTTTTTGAAAATTTTTCCTAATTATTTTTTAGTGTAGCTCAGCATCCGCTGGACCAATCTAAAAGTGCGCCATACATTTTTTGTTCGAGACTCCCGGGTTAAGACTTTGGCGGTATTCCCGATCAATTATCTCGCAAATTTAATTTTTCGAAATTTTTAAAAAAATTTATCTGAGTGTAGCTCAGCATCCGCTGAACCAATCAAAAAGTGCGCCATACATTTTTTGTTCGAGACTCCCGGGTTAAGACTTTGGCGGTATTCCCGATCAATTATCTCGCAAATTTAATTTTTCGAAATTTTTAAAAAAATTTATTTGAGTGTAGCTCAGCATCCGCTGGACCAATCAAAAAGTGCGCCATACATTTTTTGTTCGAAACTTTTTCCCTATTTTATTGGCGGTATTCTGGAACGATTATCTCGAAAATTAAATTTTTCGAAATTTTTTCATAAATTTATTTGAGTGTAGCTCAGCATCCGCTGGACCAATCAAAAAGTGCGCCATACATTTTTTGTTCGACACTTTTTGCTCAATTTTTTGTCATTATTCCCAAGTCATTACCTGGCAAATTTTTTTTTTCGAAAATTTTTTCCCAGTTTTAGTGAGTGTAGCTCAGCATCCGCTGGACCAATCAAAAAGTGCGCCATACATTTTTTGTTCGAGACTCCCGGGTTAAGACTTTGGCGGTATTCCCGACCAATTATCTCGCAAATTTAATTTTTCAAAATTTTTAAAAAAATTTATCTGAGTGTAGCTCAGCATCCGCTGGACCAATCAAAAAGTGCGCCATACATATTTTGTTCGAGACTTTTTGCTCAATTTTTTGGCGGTATTCCCGAACGATTATCTAGAAAATTTAATTTTTCGAAATTTTTTCATAAATGTATTTGAGTGTAGGTCAGCATCCGCTGGACCAATCTAAAAGTGCGCCATACATTTTCTGTTCGAAACTTTTTCCCTATTTTATTGGCGGTATTCCGGAACGATTATCTCGCAAATTTAATTTTTCTAAATTTTTTCCAAATTTGTTTTCTAGTGTAGATCAGCATCCGCTGGACCAATCAAAAAGTGGGCCATACATTTTTTGTTCGCTACTTTTTGCTAAAGACTTTGGCGGTATTCCCGAACGATTATCTCGAAAATTCAATTTTTCGAAATTTTTTCATAAATTTATTTGAGTGTAGCTCAGCATCCGCTGGACCAATCAAAAAGTGCGCCATACATTTTTTGTTCGAAACTTTTTCCCTATTTTATTGGCGGTATTCTGGAACGATTATCTCGAAATTTAAATTTTTCGAAATTTTTTCATAAATTTATTTGAGTGTAGCTCAGCATCCGCTGGACCAATCAAAAAGTGCGCCATACATTTTTTGTTCGAAACTTTTTCCCTATTTTATTGGCGGTATTCCGGAACGATTATCTCCCGAATTTAATTTTTTGAAAATTTTTCCAAATTATTTTTGAGTGTAGCTCAGCATCCGCTGGACCAATCAAAAAGTGCGCCATACATTTTTTGTTCGAAACTTTTTCCCTATTTTATTGGCGGTATTCCGGAACGATTATCTCGCATATTTATTTTTTTGGAATTTTTTCGGAATTTGTTTTCTAGTATAGCTCAGCATCCGCTGGACCAATAAAAAAGTGCGCCATACATTTTTTGTTCGATACTTTTTTTTTGTTGTTGAAGAAACTAATTACCATATGTAAATATTTACGAAAGCATATATTGTATATGTACGGAAGAGAGAAATGTGTTTAAATATATTTACTCCAGTAGATAAGACAGGACTTAGAACAGACACATATAATACGACTTTTTTCGACTTTTTTTTTTTAACAAAAATACTTATTCTTTTTAGTATAAAAAATAATATTTATTTCGGGTTGTAAATAAATTGTTTGGAAATAAAAAAAAATTGTCATTGAATTTGCATTTCGTTTTAATGGAAATTGACAATATTGATACGATATTCTGAAAAACACTTACTATTATATGAGATATTTCATAATTCATTTTTTTATTGAGGCTATATTACTTTTTTTTCTTGAAAATTGTTCAATACCAAGTGTACTTAATGCAAAATTGAATTTCACGAAATGTTTTTCTGATATTCAAACAATATCCATAACAGGTTTTAATAGCTGTAATGATATTATTACTTTTTTTTTGTATTACTATATTTTTTTCGTCATAAATTTTTATTTCTATTTAATTTTGATTTGTATTATTGGATTATTGAATAATAAGAATTATAATAATAATAATAATAATAATAAAAATAATAATTATAAAATAAATACAATAGAAAATTTATAATAAAAAAATGATTTTGAAAAGAATTTTTACTGATAAGATTAATAATATGTTGATAATTATATTATCAAAAATTAAGTTTGATAAATAATTAAAAGTTCACTTTACGGATTATTTTATAAATAATTATTTTATTAATTAATACAATAATCTATGTAAATTTAGAAAAGATTGGGAATGTATAAATTTTTTGCTATATAGTTATATGCGGTTAGAGTTTCATTTTGTTGAAAATGATTATATTTATATATTATAATTGGCAATTTATTGTTGCGCGCAAATATATAGAAGATACGAGTACTCATATCCTTTTAGCTACATAATATCAGGTTGAGATATATGTAATTTTGTAACACGGAACAATAATTGTAGCTGACACACTGAATTATTCATGAAAATGAACATTACAGACAATTCTCTAACGAGAAAATCATTGGTTCAGATGTTTAAAGATATATTGCTTTTAACTAATTTGCGTGCTCATTTCTCATACAAATATTAGCATATGGTTCACATGATTTCAAGGGATTTTATTATTATTTTCAATTATTTTTTCTTTAATTTTTTATAATTTTATTAATATTAATATTAATATTATTTTTATTATTATTATTGCCGTTATTGTTGTTGTAAAATGTAAATAAGAGATAAAAATTCAAAAAGGGTACCAGGGACAAATGAATATATATGAAGATAAATAAAAGGAGAAATGTGTAAATTGGAAGAGTGTTGAAATTAAAAACATAGAATTTTCACAGGTCTCATAATTGGGAACGAAAACTTTACAAGCACTCAGCTTTTATTTCATTTACGACCAACACGAACTCTTCTCTTGGTTCTGAAAAAAAAGCTTTTTACTCATGAAATGTATATGTTTTCTGATTCTTGTTACAACACGAGAATAACACTGATGTAGCTTGCTTTCCATTATAGATTTAGTATATAAAATGTTCAGTTTTCTTTTTGCAGAAGAATTTTTTTTCTCTCTCTCTGTTTTTTTGACTTATAAATTATGAAACACTATTTTTATGTATATTCTTAAAAAATGTATTAAATATTTTTAGATTTCTAAATGTAAATTAATTAACTGTTTTATATTTTGCCAGATAAATTTCAATTGAATTAATTTAATTTTGGTTTTAAGTTTATAAGAATTGAGAATATATTTTTGATACAAAAAATAGTTGGATTTTAAAAAGTTTATAAACTAGTTATCATGAAAACCAAATGGGGAAATCTACTTGAAAAAGTTTTTTGTTATAAAGCGTGAAAATTTGTTTACAATATACAAAACTTTTATACTACCTAAAAGTAAAATGTAGTTGTAGTAATCCAATCTCATCATCCAATTTATATATTTATCCAGCTGACTTGTTTATTTTTCGAAAACTTCATAAATAAATTCATTTGTTATTTACAATGTTTAAAAAATAAAAATAGAGAAAATTTATAAAAAAAAAAATTTTTTTTAAATATTTGATTATATAAAAATTAATGTGCGAGATATAAAAAATAGTAATATGTTTTCTAAAAATACATTAAGTACCTATATACACATTATGAATAATTTTGTAAATCGACCGAATGCATTTTTATGCAAAGAATTTCTGAGGAAACAATAAAGACTCACTCGGTCTCCAGGTGCGTGGAATAAGCGGTTTCAAGGGACTATTATAAAACCTGTAAAACTGGAGAGATGAATATTTTGCTCCATATTCGCTCGAAGAAAAATGAATACTTGGAACTTTAAATTTTTAAAAATGAAAAATAGGTTTTTTTTTGCTATACAAAATTTTATCATAAAATTTCAATGAAACAAATAAAATTTTGAAACATATTTTATGATTTAATCGCAATTTTCCAAAATTGTTATCAGTTGATAGAATTTTGTTTTGTTTAGCTTAAAATTTTATTTTGATTTTTGATCAAATGTTAAATGATTCTAGTGCAAAATTTTTTTTGTCGTAAAACAAAAATTCTTTTTTGCCATAATACAATGAATTTAATTTAAAAAGAGAGAATACCAAAGTCATATATAAAAGGTATTATATATTTTTTTATCGCATAAATACATCAAAAGAATTCCATTTCATTTTGTTCCAATTTTCATCATACAAAATCAAATCCCAGTAATCGGTTTACGATTCAGTGAATGTAAATCTGAATTAATTCATCGTTTTTTGTCGGATGTGGTACGAAATAAAAATTTTTAACAATTTACTTGATAAAAATCTCATTCTAGCGCACAACTTTCATTATTATAAAATATGATTGATTAAAATTGATTAATTTGCATTTAATTAATAAATTCTTTTTTATAGAAGAAAGAGAATTTTTTATTTTTTTAATTAAAAATTGTTTTTTTGTTTCAGATGTCTATAGGAAGTGAAGTGTATAAGTGAAATGAAGTGTGGACTATGTTAAATGTTCATCAAATTCTAAAAATCGACCGAGACGTGAAATGTGGAGTCACCCTTTCAGTGTTCGCAGGATTTGTGAATAGCGTCCGTTCTCTTCTCGCACTATTCAAAAAAGGGGTTCAACGAATACGGACTTCTATTCAAAGGTAAGTGCTTATGAGTATATGTATATATATATTTATTTATATAGAGGACTTTCAAATACATACATGGCGTGCATTTCCTTTGAGGATGGCAATCTTTAATGTAAACGCTCGTTTTAGACTCTCTCTTTCTCTCTCCCTCTCTCGGTACGAGCGAACTCAATTATCTTCTGACAACATTTCTCCTAAATACAAGAGCTAAATAATCAAGAATAACAAAACAAGCAGTTTAAAACTATAGCCAACTTCCGGAATTGACATTTCCAATTTGCTACGTGCTTCAAAAAGCATTTTTTATTGAAAATTCTCTTTACGAGAGTTAAGTAAATTACAACTTATAATGGGAAAATTCAATGCTAATAATTTACAAACTAATTTCATAAATAGATTTTCTTTTTTTTTATGTATTGTTTTGATTGATAATCATTTTAACTGGAAATCAAAAAAAAAACAAAACAAAATTATTAATCATTACACTGAAAAGAAAATTTATTTAATTCAAATAAGCGCTACTTTATTAAATATTTACTTTAGTTAAATAATTGAATTCAAACTGTATTTGAACCAATAATTTCTGTATTTGAAATGCCATTTGAATAATTATTTAATGCAAATAAATATTTATTTGATAATAGTCAAGTAATCTAGTATATGAATTAAATAAATTTTTTCTTCAGTTATGTAGGAGAAATGAATATGGAAAATAAGCCTAGCGGTGGCGTCTTAAACTAAAATGTTCCCCTAGCGGTGGCGTCTTAAACTAAAATGTTCCCCTAGTGATGGCGTCCTCAACTAAAATGTTCCCCCCAGTGATAGCGTCCTCAACTAAAGCGTTCGATATTTAGAAATTAATCCAAAGTAGACAAATAAAATGATTTTGTTTATTTGAACGTTCAGAACTAATTTTTTGTCACGGAAATTTAGAAAATTAAAAAAAATTTAAAGAAAAAAGTCAATTATTAACATTTTTCAGTCATAGAATATTTATTCTTTTAAAAATATTTTTAGTTTCTCGTATTTTTTTTTATATATTTATTGATATTTTAAATTGAAATTTTTTTTTTTGGAGAATTTTTTTTTGTCACTTTAAATATAAAGAGTTTTGAATTTTATGTCTAGAAAGATCTTTCATCATGTTAATTATATTTTGAGACTCCTTCGGAGAGCCAAAATAGCGTTGAGAATTCAATTAAAGTGGATTCGATATTAATTGAAAATGTTATACACGAAGGTTATATCACTTTGAAATAGAATTATTTCTCATAGCCAAAATAGAGAATTTATATTATGTATGATTCAAAATATCAATTAGCCTTTGTTCTCTCTATGGAATAGAGAGAAGTTTCATATTAAATAAGTTTGTAGTAGAAGTTGCATTCTATATATATATATATATATATACTATTAATTGAACTGAAGTATTTATAGAATTTCGTATATGAGCAATTATGAAAAGATTACTAGAATATAAAATTATAAATGGTTTTACAAAAAATTGTAAAGTCTCGAATTTTGTTTTCTTTTTTAAGTAAATGATGATGATAAAAATGTATTATTGTAAAATTTAATTAAATCGGACAAGTGATGGTTGCACTCGCACTAAAATTTAGGGTTTCCTGGTTGTGCAATCATTGGTAAATTATTTCTTTATTAGTGTTGTATTTTAGTTGTTAATTCTTGTAAAATTATTATTGGTAATTTTTTGCATGTAGTGTTTAATTTTAATTGTTACCAATAGTTGTGAAATTTTTGGTAACTTTTTTTCTATAGTAGCGCTTTATTTAGTTGTTGCCAATGGTTGTGAAATCATTGGTATAATTTTTTTTTAGTAGTGCTTTATTTTAGTTGTTACCAATGGTTGTAAAATTATTTTTTTCTGTGGTAGTTCTTAATTTTAATGGTTGTCTTTTTTTCTTTAGTAGTACTTAATTTTAGTGATTGCCAATGGTTGTAAAAATTATTGGTAATTTTTTTTTCCTCTGGTAGTGCTTAATTTTAGTTGTTGCCAATGGTTGTGAAAACGTTGGTAATTTTTTTTGTATGTAGTGCTTTATTCTAGAGGTTGTCAATGCAATTTTTGTTTATATGCCAAATAAATTTTGACGGGTGTACGGAACCATAGATTTCAGTGCAAGTCCAACTTGCACTTGTCGGATTTTTCTTATTCTCCAACATTGAATTCGATTTTTTAAAATTGCTTACAATAAAAAATAAATTTTTTAAACAATCTTATTCTTTCCTAAAAGAAATAAACAAAATTTTTGAATTATTTTGAACAAATAAACCTTTGAAAAAATACAGATATAAAAAGATTCATAAGAGTTTCATAGCAGAGGTAGCAATTTTTTTTTTTTTTAATTTCGATTGAAATAATTAATAATTGGAAAATTAAAGTAATTTTGGAATTGTACCTGCATTTTGAGCTTTATGTTTACATTATAAAGGTTACCATAAGCCGAAGGTCATAAACATAATGTAGTTGTAAAATCTCAAAGATAATTAAATCAGTTACTATTCGTGTATTGACCTGTTTAGACGTGATCAAAAGTGAATTTTAAAAATAAATTTTGAAATTAGTTTCGGGAGTGCTCGAATCTTTTAATTCGCGAACGAGAACAGAAGTGTTTTTTGTCATTTTAGTAAAAATATTCTATTCCGGAAGTGTTGGAAATTTTTTAAACCAGCATCACATCGGTTGCAGTCAAAGGTTAGACTTATTTTTTTTTAAATAATCAATTATTTTTCTACTAAATAATTTTTTTTCATTGTGATTTTAAAAAAGTCTAGTTGGTAAAACGATTTATTATTTTTTTTATTCTACATGTAAATGAAAAAGAGTTTTATTAAAATTTCTGAGATTAATCAGAAAATTCTTTAAATCAGTTCAATGGAGGAATTGCTCATGCAGTTTATAAATGCGTATAGCCGTGTGAGAGACAGAAAGAGAGAGAGAGAGTGTAAAATCGATAAACTTAGGCGCAGCAGCAGTTGATTCGATGAAATTCGCTTGTCTACTTAATATTAAATAATAAATAGTCGGGTGTGTACTCATATTTATTTTTTGATTGATGTGCCTTCGTTTTCTGATTCATTGGACAACAACTTATATGACAGCTGCATTCAGCCATATATATATATATATATATATATATATATATATATATATATATATATATATATATATATATATATATATAGTTTGATATATATCCTAGAATTCTGATTCTGTCAATCATTTTTCATCTGTCAATTTAAAAAATAAAAAAAATTCCATATCTTCTTCTCTTCATGTTCCTTGATTTGCAAATTTTTTTGCTTCAGTGCAATTTTTGACTACATTCACATTTCAATCATTTTATAATTTTTTATATTTCCGTTTTCTTTTTTTTTTTTGCATTTTGTCTTTTTTTATGTAGGGGTACATTTTTTTTTCTAAAAAATGCATGTTTAAAATAATTTGACTCAAATACTCGATTACTTAATTATCAAATAAATATTTACTTGAACTAAATAATTTTTATTTGAATTAAATAAATTTTATTTGAACCAATACTTTCTGTATTTGAAATAAATATCATTTAAATGAAAATTATTTGGCTCAAGTAAATATTTATTTGATAATAGTCAAGTAACCTATTATTTCAATTAAATAAATTTTTTCTTCAGTTATGTAGGAGAAACGAATATGGAAAATAAACCTAGCGGTGGCGTCTTAAACTAAAATGTTCCCCTAGTGATGGCGTCCTCAACTAAAATGTTCCCCCTAGTGATGGCGTCCTCAACTAAAGCGTCCAATATTGAGAAATTAGTAACCGATTATTTAATTCATTTACTCGATTACTTGACTATCATCAAATAAATATTTACTTGAGCCAAATAATTTTCAATTAAATAGTATTTAAAGCAATAATTTCTGTATTTGAAATAAATACAATTTAATTAAAAATTATTTGGCTCAAGTAAATATTTTATAATAGTCAAGTAATCGAGTATTTGAATCAAATAAATTTTTTTTCACTGTATAAATACAAAATTTTGATTAGAATTTATTTTTCTAAGAAAACAATGTCAATTTTTATAAAACTATGACTGCTTTTTATTATTGTTATACAATGATAAATGATAGTCAGTATATTTTGGACAAATAGGATTATATTTTAGTAGGTACTTTAATGTCAGGTTTTAATATAAAAAATATCTTTTGTCTTTGAAATGAAGATAAGTAGATAAAATATTTCTTTCGTTTTAGTCACGTCTTTAGAAAAAAAAAGTATACTACTTTTAACCACAATATTTTTTAATAAATTAAAATTTATTTAACAATATATTTTAATAAATTAAAATTTATTTAAAAATATATTTTATTTTAGAAACAAATTTTAAGAAAATATTTTTAAAAAAAATTTAGTATATAAAAGTGAACTAAAAAAGACGTTAAGTCGTTCGTGTAGTGTATTCATAAAAAGAAGAAAAGAAGTTAGATTTATTGTTCGATAGTATATGACCATTTCGCTAACAAAGTAGGACACGCAGTCGGTACATTGTGGTTGGCCTTTCACGAAAGATGCAACAAAAAAAAATGAGTGCAATTCACCTTGAGACTACGTATACTATATTTCTTCCAATGACTTTTGTATATGTATATCAAGAGTTGTACTATATATTATAGTGTGATTTTTATATAAAATATATAGTGAATTTCATCTCATATTTCATTGATCAAAGTTCGCATTTCAATTGACGTTGAAAATTCGTACCTATATATATATATATGGCTTCTTGAAAATTCATTTAAGGGGAAATTAATTATAAGTTTGAATCGAGTGGAATAACACCTCTCAAGTTTATATCCAACATGATGGCTAAAATTATTAATTAGAAAGTTCAGTCAAGTGTATTTACAAATATATATCAACTTTTTACACTTCATTTATTAAGTTTAATTGATTTTCGTTTCTAATTTGAATTTTTCTTTCTGTTTTTATATGTTCCGGATCCTCTTA